GGTCTTCTCGTTCCTGCTCAAGTTCCTTTATCCTTTGTGCTTTTTTCAAAGCTTTCTTCTTTTTATATTCACGCTGCTGGGCAATCATTTCTTTTCTGTGTGACAAAGAGCTAAATGTCAACTGTTAAGATTGAAAAGATGACTTGTTTACCTTAGTAATGCAAAAAAAAATCAAACATACACATTTTTCTCTATGAATAAAAGCCCTAACTCATTAAAATCAATGCCAATACCTAAAGCTACTAAGAAATACATGTAGTTTTTAAAAAGTATAGTGTCACTGGAAGCTTTCAAACAATCTATTACATAAATCTAAATTTTTGGCTGTGACTTGATTCTTTTATAACTTTTACCAGCTGAGTAGCAACATTAACCATACACTGTACTACAGACTCTGAGCTCCACCTCAAAGCTAGGAGATCATATGGTGTTTTACAACAACCTTATTGAGGATGTGCATATAGTATTTGGAAATGGCATGCTTCACTCACGCTTCCATTCACTCCTGGGATTCAGGCCACTAGCATCTCATACCTGGGATTCTAGCAGCAGCTGCCTTTGGTTGACAATGATTAATCTTAAACTCAAACTGTATCACATTTATCTGTTTTTCAAGAAGTACTTTATGATCTGTCTTCTACCTATGAAACTTCTTGTTAAACTATCTACCTTCTAGGCCCAAGTTTCTACCAAAGGAAATTCTATGTTACCTCCATGCCCCCAGCCCTTTATAAAGTAGGAATTTACTCAGTCATTCCTACATATTTAGAACTGTGCTATACGCTTTAGTAATGGTATCATCTAATCCTCCAGCTAATAGATATATTCAATAGTACAGATAACTACTGCGTATTTTACAGACAAGAGATGGGAAAGTTTATCCAAGACAAACATGCACATTACTAAGAGCTTCAGATCCACATGGTCAGTAATTTTTTGTGTTTTTACTTTTTTTTTTTTTAAGCAGAACTGGGGATTGAACTCAGACCCTTGTTCTTGCCAGGGAAGCACTTATTCTACTGAGCCATCTCCCTGGCCCTATTTTTATTTTGCTGACTTCTATTCTTTTGAAATCTCAGTTCAGATGTCATTTTCCCAAGGAAGGGTATTTATTTCAGTAGAGAAAGGCTTAAGTTGGTCTTTACTGTGAACAGCCAATGGTACCGGGCTTATAAAATATGGTAGGATGACATTCTTAGCATTAGTATCTCAGTTACTGAATGCCTACACAGGAACCAAAATGTCATTTTACCTAAGTACACATATACAGGTACACAGACCACGCTGACCCTATCGTACTAATCTTCACAGCTACGGTGAACAGCATTATAGCTTCCTCACCCTAATTTGGCTTGCAATAATTCTCTTTGTATATGACCTACTAGTGAATGGAGAACACGAAAAAGATGAAAGTCAAAACCACTTACTTCGACATGGGTTTGCTGCCACTGTCCTCCTTCGCCTTCCTTCCCTCTTCTACAGGCTTGAGGTTCAACAGTGGAGTCACTTCAGCATTGCCATA